AACAAATTTCTCATCTGATCCTCCTGGGGCAAGACACTGATCTTCCAAGTAGGACAAAACTGATTTTCCTCTCTCACACAGGAGGTCAATTACTGGCTTGTTACTAGTATATTTTAATTCAGCAGTAGATATTCCTTCATCCATGTACAATTTAGATTCCCTTTCAAAAACAATGTCAATAAAGTTCTTCTGGAGCATCTCATTCGTGATGTTAATAAATAACTGTTCTAGCGAATTGTTCTTAAACACCTCGAAACCGAAAATATCTAACATGCCCATAAACACTTGGAACCCACCTTCTGGCTCAATTCTACTATTCAAGTTTTTGATGATCCAGAGGAATAATTTTTCATACATAGCTTTGCAAAGGGACAACTGCAACACTTCTGCATCATTTTTATTCCACCTACCTTCGATTTTGTTTCCTCCTGCATTGGTAACTTTTACTAATAATTCTCTCTGAACCAATTCATGATTTAAGAACATTAAATCACAGGCTCTCTTAAACAGGTCCATGTCTTCATCATGAATAGCTGCTGCGTCAGTTAATCCAGCTTCTGCCTTTTCTATCATTCGAACATTTCCTAATGTTAAAATACCAGCTACTACGGAGAATATATATTCTATCTGATCATCTGTTAACTGCATATTTTTTAAGGACTCCATCACTTCTTCAAAATCTTTTTCATCATCAACAGAAGGTACTTCAGTCGAGTTAGGGTTCAACAACTTGTAACTCTTTACATCTCTCAATCCAAATTTCTCTCTCATACTTTTGCTGGCACCTCTAAGGAACTGATAAAATATGTGATAAGACCTTTCGTTATCGTCCTGCGTTATAATTCTCGACTTCTCTAGAAGAAAGGCAACCACTGAACCGTTTCTGATACCTCCCTCGTGAGATATAACTAACTGCATGAAACGACCAAAACGTGAAGAGTTGTTATTTCTAATCGTTTTCGCATTTCCAAAGGCCTCGAGAACTGGGTTTGCTGCCATGATCGCTGTCTGGATGCTTAAGTCCATGTTTCCACTTTTGGAGGATGCAAAATATCTCATAATCTGCTTCGTCGCTTCTGTCTTTCCGGCACCTGATTCACCAGACACGATGATCGTTTGGCTTTTGTTCACACCATGAAGATTCGAAAGAGCTTCCCTTGCACAAGAAAAAATATGTGGTGGTAACCTTGTATGATCAGCAGCATCACGGTACTTTCGAATCCATTCAGCAGTCGTGTTTCCTAAGTCCCTGTACGGATTGATAGCAACGATAAGGGGCACAGCAGTGGTATATATCTGGTTCTTGAAATATCTGTGTTTGAGAAAATCCAACACACATGGGACGTTAGTATGGTTCAGCAAGCCGATATCTCCAAAAGACATTGGGTCCACTTGTGAGTTGCAATTCCAGGCATGGTCGATGTCGATTTCGTATGACTGTGTGGGGTACGCATAGCGCGAAGTGGAAAATATGGGGAAAAGGGGAAGGAGATACAAATGTGTATACGCACGTATGTGTGTGTATTTGTATGTGTGTGCAGTTTTACGCGCATGCACGAAGGTGTGTATACACATTCATATAGGGTGTACGCATGCACACTTTCCCTCACACGCGCAGACACATGAAGCAACTCATTCCGCATTAGCATGTGTACATCGCCTTTGCTCCGTTATATTTTTTTTTCATTATTTACAGTTCCTGGGCCGGGGGGGTCAATCTGCACAACGGTTAACTTCTCTTTGTTAGATCCCTGCTGCACAACACATTTTACAAACATGATATTTGGATTTTCTTCTATTGTTGGGGATATATCGGTCCATATTTGATAACCCTGCGGGAAAAAGAAGGTAATTTTTAAAGCGACTCCAAAATTGGAAATATGGTGCAGGCGGTTAATTTCGAATGTTGTCAATCTTTTCACTTCTTGGGAGTTTTTTTTTTTTTTACCTTAAACACAGCTCCGGATTTGTCAAAAGCCTCGATATTTGAAGCCCTCTTTACAATTTTTCCCGCCGTTTTCATCTCCTCATTTGTGATTGCCATTTTGTACGCGTAACTCAGAATAAAATGATAACATAAAAGCAAGGTAAAGGTAAAACGGTAAAAAATGCGTCAAATGGGGCCAACTACTGCTTCTCGTACTCTATGTTGGAAGCAAATATTTTTCGGTAAATGTTTAGTAAGAACAAAGAAAAGGAAGAACAAGAACAACAGTTGTCAAACAATATTTTTGCACGAACAATTCTAAACAACAACGCTTTTCTCAAACACAAGCAGATAATCGGGTAGCAAAAAAGCGAAGAAATAAATGAAGAGCACACAAACAAACAAATAAATAAATAAATAAAAAAGGAACCAAAAAAAAAAAAAAAAAAAAAAAAAATTTGACAGGTAAAGATAAAATAATATATAAAACAACCTGAACGGTAAATAAATTTAATTAAAAATATATGTACGGGTCAGGTAAATTTTAACTTTTTTCTTTTTTTTATATATTAA